ACACACACACACACACACACACACACCGTTCGCCTGTATCTCTTTCATCTAAGATACTATAGCATTATCAATGTATCTTTAACCTACCGTGACTAAGGCTCCAAATCTTTATTTAAATTTAAATTATATTTTTTTAAAAATTTTTAAATTTAATCTTCAAACAAAATGCATATTTGCATAAAATATCATTTTTTTCAAAAATTTATCAGCAAATTTAAGTCTGCTTATTATCAAAAATTGAATCCTAACATCCACTCTCGTTTTGGCTCTAAAGACTCACATATTTTCTGACAAACTATGAATTTACTGATGCAGATTTTACTGTTTTCTGCTACTGTGTTGATACACCAAACATTTTTATAGATTTCTTCACAAGAAACTGTTCATGATCGGCCAAATGATGACAGTTTATTGCAACAAGCAACAAAACAGGCAGCAGATAAAGTTCGATTTTTTTTTTTCAATAACAATAAAACGTGACAACAGATATTTCAGCCGTATTTTTGTGCTACAAATCTTTTTTTCACTTGTTGTTGTTTTTTTGTTGTTTTGAATTCAAATATAAATTTACAATTAAAAAATTTTATTTCAGGTACAACTTGATGTTGCTATATTGTTCACAGATACAGCTACGCCAAATGAACAACAACAAAACGATACCGATAAATGTGACAACAGCTCTGCGGACAACAAAACAACGGCAGTTGATTTACAAAATTTTCAGAACGCTTGCCTTTTAACAACTATAAAACAGACAAGAAAAAATTAAACTCTTTTAAACTGAACTAACATCAGAACAGCGATAGTTATGCTGATAATTGTTGATCAGCTAAATTTGTTGTATTTTTGAGTAAATATTCAAAGATACACTTTTGTATACCGGTTTTTTTCTGCTTTTTCCCTTTTTTTGGAATAGTTAAACCTGTAGAATGCTTGTTCCGTAATTTTGTTGTTCAAAAAATTGCTGAACAAATTCAGATTTCTTGGCTTATCATAGCTGTTTTGCCCACATACAACATAAACTAAGGTTACAAAGTAACTGATGAATTTAAAGAAACTTTAACAACGTAGATGTTCTCGTGACTTTTTTTTTTTTTTTTGCTGATTAGTCTTGTTTATTGTGGTTGTAACAACAGTGATTAAACCATCTATCATTGTTTAACAGCTTTATAGTTATTACATTTATACTATTTGTTAGAATAAGGTAAAATTGCGGAGGCCTAGCATCATAATATGTCATTGAAAATTGTAGAGAAATAAGGCCTAATTTAAGTTGTCTTTCAGTTTTGACTTACTGATTATATTACATTACGGGAATCTATAAAACTTGCATTAATCAATTGCTCTTTCACTTTTTTTTTTTTGTCTTGATCAAACCTACTGGTCTATTTTAAGTGTAAAAATAAAATTTACAAAAAGCATCTTTTTCTGCCATCTTGACAACAAGCCGTTGACTGTAAATATTGCTGTAAATATTTTTTAACGAAAGCCAAAAAATAATTAAACAGACAATTTTTCTGAAAAGAGAACATTTGTAAAGCCGCTGTATTATTCGGCTAATAGTCATTACTAAAGTATTAGTGTGTTTTTGACACCAACGCAGCAGTGCCTTCTTCCGTGAATGATCATGGTTTTTTATTCTAATACAAATAAGCAAACTATGGATTTGATTCTAAAATGTCTGAGTCTTATCGCACCCACATTTCAAAAAGATGATCAGCAACTTTTTTTTACTTCCTGGACATATCTGTGAAGGAAAGAGACAAAATGGTAAAAAGCTTGAAAATTTTGCTTAGAAACTAAGTGCCATTATTGGTTTTTTTCTGTTGTGTCAGCTGAGTTGAATAAAATCGTATGAATCATTCGGTGACTTTCTAGAAATGATGTTTTTTTGGTAAGATAACCCAAAAAAGCTGAGGTATTAGTGAGATTTTGGAATTGTTGAATTCTTTACTAGACAGGCAAAAAAAAATTAACAGATTTTCAGTTACACTTTTTTTTTAATGACGTCATCTGCTGTCTTCCGAATTCCCTAATTTCTATTGCATTTTTGTAAAGCTGCAAAATTAGATTAGTTTCGGGAAAAAAACCCAGCGTAATTCCTAAAAAAATTTTTTTCTAATGACATAAACCTAATTTCAAATTTGGCAATTTAGTACGGTGGAAAGAGGAGAAACAGAACAAAACACCAACAAAAACAATGCTGGTTTTTGTTGCTTAATGCAGATTATTTAGTGACGTTTTTTTTTTTGTTTAGATTTACCTGCTAAAAAAAATTTTTTTTTATTATTGCACTGAAA